TTTGGATGGATTGGAGACTGTACTTACATTAGTGATAGGTCAATTAATATCTGAACAGTTCAAAGAAGCAATTATTTTAATTTATAAATCACTTCAGAGGTAGGAAGCTGCTCTCCATTAATGTGGTTTTTACAAATAAGAGTGCTCTTGGTGACGTGTGTGTGTGTGGAAGGCTTTCTGCCCGTGTTATTCTATCTGGCCCCAGTTTTCAGACCAGATCACATACCTCTGTGATTATGTATTTGTCTGCAGGCCTGCTCCACACACAAAGCATCGGGATCTGCAATCCGACCCTTGGCTGAGACCACCCTATTTTTCAAGTTTTCACTCCACTGAAAGGTACCACCATGCACAGTGGTGCTCCCAGCAATGACCTTCTTACGTTACACTCTAAATGGCGGGTTCTGTGAGCTCAGACTCCCTGGGGGGTTGGTTTCAAGGCCACTTGGTCATCACACACAAAGGGGAGAAGGGCCCAAGCAATTTCTGGGCACGGTGAGCTTCTCAGACAATTTGACAGCTGATGAAAAGTCTCCAAGTTTCCTTTAAAGCCACATAAAGCATCATTTCATGTTATTGTATTTTATTTTTTTTTTAATTCCTGAGTGACAGCTAAGCGGTCAAAAAGTACACAAGATAAATGCCGTCTGATCCGGGAGGCAAACCAGGCAGTGGGGAACTACAGTAGCATCTGCTGTCTGCCCACTACTGTCTTTTAAAATATTTATTTGCATAGTAAACAGGTTTCTTGGTGCCTGGAAGGTCCAAATAGCACAGAACCAGCATCCTGGAGAGGGCCCCCCCCCAACCCCTGCTGCCTCACAACATGCAGAAAATGGAAGGAGAAGGGGTCGAGTGTAGGAGGGATAATATGATAAGACAGGAAGAATGAAATGAGGAGGGACCTGGTTCACTCATTTGGTAACAACCTACTCTCTTTATAATCACCCACTGCGTTAGTCAACCTTAAGCTGCTGTGGCACAAACCAGTGAGAGGAGTTTATTTTGGCTCATAGTTTCATTGGTCCATGGTCAGCCAACTCTCCTGCTCTGGGCCCTATTGAGGCAGAACATGATGGTGGAAGGGTGTGGTGAAGGAAAGATGCTCAGCCCAGAGTGGCCAGGAAGCAGAGAGTGAGAGAGAGAGAGAGAGAGAGAGAGGGGTAGGGACTTGTTGGGGGTGGGAGGGGAGGGAGAGAGAGGGAGAAAAGCCAGGGACAATATATAATCCCCAAGGGTACACCCAAGTGACCTACTTCCTCCAGCCATGCGCCATATACCTACAATTATCACCCAGAAGTCTATTAAAATTATTAATCCATCAAATTAATTAACCCACTGGTAAGATTACAGCTTTCATAACCTAATCATTGCCTAGAAGCCCCACCTCTGAACCTGGCTGTATTAGGGATTATGCTTTCAAAACACGAGCTTTGGGGGCAACATTAACGATCCGTACCATAGTACTCTCTTTCCTGGGAACAAATCCATTCCTACCTGAACCCATTCCTGCTGACCACCATTTATCCATTCATGAGAGTGGGCCGCCATGACATAATCACTCCCACTAGGCCCTGCCTCTTGAAGGGTCCGCCACTTCAACACATGCCACCCTGGAGGCCAATCCTTTAGCCCACGAATCTTTGGGGGACAGGCCCTATCTGAACCACAGCACAGGGTTACCAGCTGAAGAGGGATAGGGGTGGGCTGGTGTTGGGTAGGAAATTGAAGGAAAGATCTGAAAGAGCCATTTTGGACAGTGGGAAATGCACTAGGGTTCAAAAATGCTGTTCATTTAATTGCAATAGATATCTGTTGAATGCCAGGATCTTAATTTTGGAAAAGAGATGCTATAATATGCTTTCTAAGGGCAACTAAGGAAAAGACACTACTTGGATAGCTCCAAGTCTATGGTTAGACTATGATCAACACAGGGAAAAAAAAGTGGCTTTACCTCTCCTCTGCTAGAGTTGGTGAATATTCATCCAATCACATGAGTGATCCATTCGTTTTGCTACAGGTTAAAAAGAGGGTTTCCTCTGTTCATATGTGAACACAAGACCAGGGAAAACTCCACATCATGTTCAACCACAAGAATGGGAACTTAGACTCCATGTATGTGTGACAGGTCAAAATACACTCGATTGTCATGGATCTCTAAAAAGAACATTTAAAAAAAAGAAAAAAGGAGAGTAGTATTAGACTTAGTTGTGTGGGGCGGGCAGTTTGAAGAAGTATTAAAACCTGGGAAGCTATGCTGATATCCTAAGACTTAATCTATAGATTAATCATCTATACTGAATCAAAAGATGATGAAAGATATTGCATCAAGAGCCCTGAATTGTCAATAAGCATTTGTAGGGAGGGGAAGGTGAAGGGCAAGGTGAAGACATTCATTGCCAAGCCCAGCCTGCTCACCACCAGATAGCAACAGAAAGCAAATGCTTTCACACATAATGGTTCATGAACTCTGCCTGCAAGGCCCAGTCTCCATTGCATAAACTGGAATTAAGAGCAATGACGAAATGACTTGCTGAAGATTCCACAGTGCCTAAGAGACAGGATGGTTTGGTACCAAATTCTTCTATTATGATGGGTAAAATGTAAGATGGTAGAGAAGCCCAGTTAGGAGAAGGTGTGGTGAGTGGGGAAGGTTCAGAAGGTAGTGACCAAAAGACCCACCAGAACAACTGCAGAGGAGGAAAAGTTTATCTGGGGGCTCAGGGTTTCAGAGGTCTCAGTCCATAGACAGCAGGCTCATTCCTCAGGGCTCGAGGGGAGGCAGGACATCATGGAGGAAGAGTGTGGTGGAGGGAAGCAGCTCACATGGTGACCAGGAAGCAGAGAGAGACTCCACTCTCCAGAGACAAATAGAGACCCCAAAGCCATGCCCCCAATGCCCCCTCCTCCAGCCACACCCACCTGCCTTCAGCCACCACCCAGTTAATCCCATCAGGGGTTCATTCACTGGTTGGGTTAAGGCTCTCACAACCCAGTCATGTCTCCTCTGGACCCTCCTGCATTGTCTCACCTGTGAGCTTTTGGGGGTCCCACCACATCTAAGCCGTAACGCCAATGTCTCAAAGCACAAGAGGAATAGGGGTGTTAGTTTGGCAAATTGAAGGGTGGAACTGGGAGCGGAGGGACCAACGTCTACCTAAGTCTAGTGGCAAGTGAGGGGGGAGTCCAGGATTCTGGCTGGAGTGTAGATGGAATGAAGATGAACAGTGGAGCTAGCTTCTGGGCACAGGCAGAATCACAAAGCATCTCCCAAGTCACGGGAAAGAGTCTGATTTACCTGGAGGGCATCCTCAAAGATGGAAATTCTTTGAGCTAAGAAGATATGGTGAGGTTAGGAAGCCCTGGGGAGGTGAGGGAAGGGGTCAAGGCAGGAAAAGTAGCTCATGGTTGATATCGGTACCAGAATGGGAAAGAAGGAACCTACGGACAATGCTTAATGGAAATCAGAGAATTCAGCTGAGACTTAAAAAAGAATACTAGCAAATAATAAATTATTCACTGATAACCTCTCCATTATATATATCCCTTCCCCTATTAACTCAGATTCTATGGCCAAAAAAAAAAAAAGACAGTTTTATGATCCATATGTATGTCTTTGATTTTGCTGATTAAAAATTCCAAGTGTTTATTGAGCACTTACTCCATGTCTGGCACTGTGCTAGACACTGAGAAAATTCAGTTTGACCAGAGACCATGTCTGTTTCTAGAGAGCTCTCATGTTGGCCATGGAGAGAGTCACAAGAGAACCAAGCACAGGTATTCAGACAGCAAACAGTGCTGTAATGAGATAATGAGATATGACAAGGTCCCATCAAAGTTCACGCCCATAGGAAGGAAGGGCGCTCTGAAGAGGTGACATTTCAGCTGACACAGAACAAGCAGTGCCAGACCCAAGAAAATCTCAGGCACAGGAAAGGCTTAAGGTGTCAGTGACTTTGAGGGAAGTAGAGAATGAGGGGCAGGCACATGGAGGAAGATCTTGGGGGTCAAGGGAAGGCATCTGGATACTATGCTGAGGGTGGCCTCCATTTTGGAGTCTGTCCCTTTCATGATTAGACACCATCCAACCCATTCTGATGATTGGAACAAAGAGTTCTTGGATCCGTGACAGATCTGGGTGCTGGAGGGTGAAGATGTTTTATGATAAGATTTCTACTTTCAACCTGAAGATGGTACCTTTGAGTATAATGCACTTGATGGGGAGAATGGCCCAGAAGGTCCACAGGACAGCCCTTAATGACAGGAGTGATTTTTTTTTTTAATGCCCAAAGTCCAGGCTGCCAGGGTACAGACCAAGAGTCCAAGTGACCTCTCAAAAGAAGACCAGCCAGACGCAGTGGCGCATGCCTATAACCCCAGCAGCTCAGGAGGCTGAGGCAGGAGGATCACAAGTTCAAAGTCAGTTTCAGCAACTTAACAAGGCCCTAAGCAACTCAGGGAGACCCTGTCTCGAAATAAATACAAATAGGGCTGGGGATGTGGTTCAGTGGTTGAGTGCCCCTGAGTTCAATCCCTGGCACCCCCCTCCAAAAATAAGACCCAAATGATGCTCCATTGGATGCTCCACCCTCTGCCTACAAGGAATGTACCCTACCTGAATGGGACTTTTGATATATACTAGCCAACTGCCTCAATCGTAATTAATGCAATCATTTAATCACACAGGAAGCATCTGGCAACTGAAGTAATGGGGGAAAGGATTCTCCCCAGAGAGGTGCACCTTCCAAGGACCTCTGACATTGCCAGCTCTCCTCCTGCCCCCCTGGGAAGAGCGTCAAGAACTCACAGCCAGGCAGACCGGGTGCTAGTCTGGGTTCCATTCCCTGATGGCATGTGGCCCCAGGGACAGAAGTAAACATCTCTGAACCTTAGTTCCCCGATTCCATGAAATGGAGATCATGACACTTGGCTATAGGACCCAGAGGAGAAACAAACCCAGGAAGTGATTATCACACCTTCCCTGGGATTTATGTTCTTACACATGGCGGCTTGGTGCCACTGGGTTCCACTTTTTTTTTTTTTTTCAGCAAAATGTCCATCTTTAGAGCCACCAAATTAAGGGATGACTTCTGCAGCAGCCATCATCTTCACCTGGAAAGGAAACAGAAGTCTATTTACTTGGCTTCATTTTCTCAGCACCAACAGGGAGCAGTTAATCAAGCCCACATTGACAAGGGAAGCTGTGAGATCCCCTCTCTGATGAGACTTACCTGATTTGTTATGGAAGTACTATCCGTGCCCAGGGAAAATTAAAAACACAAACGAGAGTGGGAGGGGGGCGTGCAGTAAGAGGAGGCGGAGAAGGAGACTTCTTAGAGAAGTGAAATTAGAGTTGCTCATCTCTCACTGGTGACCTCATCTTATGATGAAAAACATCATCACGGTATCCCAAAACATCTATGCATTTATGTGCCGTTAAAATGATCCTTTGGTTTCCTGGTGACATTCTTTCAACAAATTACAATCAACAACGCTTGCCACTGTTGCAGGTAAGCTAATGGTTTTGAAGCTTTGAACTTCATTTAATCTGAAACTTTCAAATAGTGATTTCTTTTGCAGGGGGTAAACTCCAGCCTGAATACCTCCCACCTTTTCTTTCTGAAGTTCTATTTCATGGTAGTGGATTTCAGCAAACAGAAGCAATGCGAAGCTGGGTAGCCTTGAAGGAAATACAGAGGGGGACCTGCTTTGTAGGTAATTCACTGCTAACATTGCACATGCGCAGTGAACATCTGGAGCGCGCACATCAGAAAGACTGGGATTCTAGTCCCCACTCAAACTCTCACCAGATACTCGACCTCAGTACAAATGGTATGTTCTCTCTAAGCTTAACTTATGTGTAGAATGGGGATAATAACAATAATGTTTCCTTCTAAGTTGTGATTCGATTTAAATATTAGAAGCCTCATGACCATACTTAGAACAGAACATAATAACAGTTAAAAAAAAAAAAAAAAACATTATTACCCACTGTTAATCCTAACCATATTACCTTTAGCAAGTTACTTTACCCATCTGGACTTTTAATACTTCATTTGTAAAATAGCGAATTTAGACTAAAATCCTGAACTTAATGATTCTTACACAGCATTCAAATTTTTTTGCCATTGTGGAGAAAAACATAAACCTGCTCTATGACCCTGAAAAGAATGAAGTCATCCTCACAGTTATTCCCAACGTCTGAATAAATCCACGCTTTTAAAATAGATCTGCAATTTTGCATAAGTGCACTGACTTTAAGAACATAAAATATCATACCACACAGTCTTCTAAAGTGCTATTATTTTAAAAAATCCTATCTCCGGAAGGTTGACTCCATCATGGGTATGTCTGTACCAGATGGGTCTCTTGAACCCTGAAAACTTTCACATTCCCCAAAGCCATAGTAGTTGGTTATCTTTCCGTTTCAAATGTACATTAATAGAAATACATGTGTTGAAACCGGCAGGTTTAGTGTGGAAGGGGCCAACACACACACTGTGGGGCAAAACAGCATGCATTTAAATTCCAGGTATGTGCCTGGCATGGTGACATATGCCTGTAACCCCAGCAGCTCAGGAGGCTGAGACAGGAGAATCACAAGTTCAAAGCCAGCCTCAGCAACTTAGCAAGGCCCTTAGCAATTCAGCGAGATCCTATCTCTGAATAAAATACAAAATAGGGCTGGGGATGTGGCTCAGTAGTTAAGCACCCCTGGGTTCAATCCTCAGTACCAAAAAATAAAAATTAAAATTAAATTCCAGCTATGCCACTTGCTAGCTTCATGATGATGAAAGGTGAGTCATTTAACATCTTTGTGCCTGTTTCCTTATCTGCAAAATCAGGATAATAAGGCTATCTACTCAATATATTATTGTGAGATTTCAGATGAGTGTATAGATGTGAAGTTCTTAGAACACTGCCTGCTACCCCCCACCTTGGGGATGATGGTGCTCACCTGTAATCCCAGTGACTCAGTGGAGGCTGAGTCAGGAGGATTGCAGCTGAGACCAGCCTCAGCAATTTAGTGAGATTGTGTCAAAAAATTAAAAATACTAGAGGTATAGTTCAGTGGTAAAGCACCCCTGAGCTCAATCCCCAATACTAAAAAAAAAAAAAAAAGTACACTGCCTGTTATCAACATAGCGACAAGTTCTGAGAATGTATCCTTCTGTGACATTGTCATGTGTGAGCATTGCTGAATGTAATCTGTAATGTCTGTAATCTCTAAGGAGTTGGGGTGGAGATCTGGGTCTTAATTCTCTATATGTGCAAGAGACATTTAAGATATCTGGCTCATACATAAAATGTCGGAGCATTTAAACTTCTCATAGTACCTATAAAATTATTCGAGTACTACGGGCAGGGGTGTATTTGAGAGCTTTAAGTCTCTCAGCACTTGACATTAGAGGATCCCATTGTGAACTCGTGACCTTGTGACTCTTTAGCCTGAGCAGAGGATCCCTGGGAGAATCAACTGTTGATTGGTGACTCTTCCCTGCTTAAGCAAGATCACAAGGGAAAAGAAAATGATTTCTCTGGCTATGGCTTTCCCGCCAAGATCTCTGACGAAAATGGGAATAATGTGAATTCCTTATGTCCAAATATATTACTATTCCATTTGGTCATAAAAACAAAATAAGTCTTTCTGGCCTACCCTATTTAAAACCAAATCATTTATATCTTAGACTCAAATCCCACCTCTAAATCTCCGCACACCTACATCATGTGAGCATCCAAAGGATGCATGATTCGTTGAAGCATATGAGATTTCTGCCCAAAACAGATGCATCATGAGGGTACGAGAGTCCGTGTACCCACAGGTTGGAAATCAATTACGCAAATGAGGTTGTGTGGCAAATAGAGTTCAGCTTTAGTATGTATAGGAAGAAAATTCAAGAGGACAAATCAAGTGTTCAAATTACTTTTTTTTTTTTTCAAATTACTTTTAAGTAGACTAATAATGGGCTTAATTGTTATGTCTCACATGAGACAGTTTTGTCAATGGCAGGGAAGCGGTCCTTCTGCTCTCAGACATGCTGCAGCTGGTTTTCACAGACCACAGAGCTCTAGTACCTTCCATCTTGAGGAGTCAGGCTTCTCTCTGGAAGTAGACAAGTTCTTGTGTCAGAACTAAGTGGGTAGACACATCCCAGCTAAAGCAGCAAAGAGAGCAAAGCCAAGTGCAGGAAAAATGGTTTTATCCAACATTGGTTTTATTTCATTTCAGAGTGCTCCTATAGCTGGGTGCAGTGGTACACTCCTAGGTTCCCTGCAGCTAGGGAGGCTGAGGCAGGAGGATCTCCAGATCAAAGCCAGCCTCAGCAAAAGCGAGGCATGAAGCAACTCAGTGAGACCCTGCTTTAAATAAAACACGAAGAGGGGTGGGGATGTGGCTCAGTGGTTAAGTGCCTCTGAGTTCAATCTCTGGTACCTGCCCCACCCCGAAAAAAAAAAAAAAAGAGTGCACTTAAGCCATGAGAATATGAGCATATATATGGTTTGGCTTCAGTCTGTCTGTGACCCAGGGTCGACCTTTGGGGCAGTAACTGTCTCATCAGAGACTGCCTAATTATCCAGAATCCACTTCCATATTTCCCAGAGTGAATTTACCTTGATCATGGTTATAGACTATCCATTTCCAAATAAAATTTGGTAATATTTTAGATAAGGAAATCACAGTAGAGTTATGAGTCCCTTCATGATAGCAACAAGTTCTGAGAATGTATCCTTCTGTGACATTGTCATGTGTGAGCATTGCTGAATGTGCTTACACAAACCTAGATAGTAGTCCACTCTACCCCCAGGCACAGGGGCCGTGCCTTCACATATATCGTCCATTATTGACTGACTGTGTGCATTAGATGCCATTAAGCTCACACCCATCCAATTAAAGTTGACATCATATTGGATTGTGGCTGGAATTTGGCACAGGGAACATCTTCTTCAATAACTCCACTTTAAAACTGAATCCATCCTACTGACCTAGGTCAGACTGTGATCATAACACATCTGTCTTTCAAATCTACTGCAACATCTTTCCCCCATTTTCTTTTCTGAGATGATTTCCTTTACTCCTCCCACCCTGCCTAGTCCCCAGCAGGTAGAGATGGGGAGTGGTTCTTGGCAGGTATCTGTTTCTTAATTCAGTTCATCAGGGCTGCTAGTACCTCCCTGTTATGGTTGGATGTGAGGTGTCCCCCAAAAGCTCACGTGTGAGACGGTGCAAGAAGGTTCAGAGGAGACATGACTTGGTTGTGAGAGCCTTAACCCAACCAGTGAATGGATCTCTGATGGGATTAACTGGGTGGTGGCTGGAGGAGGTGGCATTGGGGGCGTGGCTTTGCGGGTCTCTATTTGTCTCTGGAGAGTGGAGTCTCTCTCTCTGCTTCCTGATCACCATGTGAGCTGCTTCCCTCCACCACACTCTTCCTCCATGATTCCCCTCCTGCCCCGAGGAATGGAGCCTGCTGTCTATGGACTGGGACCTCTGAAACCATGAAGCCAAATAAACTTCCTCCTCTACGATTGTTCTGATTGAGTCTTTTAGTCACAGAGGCAAAATAGCTAAGACACACCCTTCTGATACTTGGCTTAAATTGGGCAAGGTGTGTCTCTCTTGTACCCCAATAGCCCTAACTAATATAAGGAAGTATCAAACTGTCAGAGTGCTTGTGTGTACACATGTATACATGTCATGTGTCGGCATATAGTATATAGTATGTATGTAGTTTATTTATGGAGAATTTAGAAATGGTAGGTACCATTTGAAGCTTTCACCTGTAGTAATTCTTGCATGCTTACAAGTGTGTGGAAATGCCCTTCTCTGTCACAATTCTCCATTTCTATTCTTTGTCCCTGATCCATCATTTCTGCTTTCCAATGCATTTCTCCCCTTCCAGCATACATTAGAACTTCCTGATTGGATTTATTGTTTATCCTCTCCCCATCCTGGAATGTAAACTCACTGACATATCTCAAATGCCTAAGATAGTCTGTGACACATGGCAGGAGTTCCATAAATATGTGCTTAATTAATGAGTTGATTCACTAATGAGTATATACTCTTATTTGGTTGATGACGAATTTTCCTTTACATCCACAGAGTCCTC